ATTGGTTGTTCAAAACATTACAAAGCTCTTGACATATCATATTTCATACATTAGATTCAAGTGGGTTATGAACTCCCATTTTTACCCCAAATACAGATTGCAGAATCACATCGGTTACACATCCACATTTTTACATAATGCCATATTAGTAACTGTTGTATTCTGCTACCTTTCCTATCCTCTACTATCCCCCCTCCCCTCCCCTCCCATCTTCTCTCTCTACCCCATCTACTGTAATTCATTTCTCTCCTTGTTTATTTTCCCATTCCCCTCACAACCTCTTATATGTAATTTTGTATAACAATGAGGATCTCCCTCCATTACCATGCAATTTCCCTTTTCTCTCCCTTTCCCTCCCACCTCATATCTGTTTAATGTTAATCTTTTCTTCCTGCTCAAAGCAGGGAGGAAGTCCACAACATTTCTTAAAGCACATATACTACTTTAGGATAATAGTATAAAATGTTCATTCTGGAATAAAACTGTCATTGTTATCATTCTTTGATTTTTGTAGTCAGTCAAAGGTTCTTCGTTTAAAAAAAAAAGTTCTTTTCTCATTTTTTAATAGAAAATAAATATTGGGTTTTCTTCGTATGAAAAGACCTTTGCAAGTGAAGAGTGTAAAATGTGACTTTTATGTTGCTATGACAGTAATGCTCATTGTAACCAAACAGTACAAGTAGGGTTTTAGATGTAGAAAGTACAGTAATGCATAAAATTAAGGTAAGTAGCATTTGCAAATCCTAGTACCCACAAATAATCCCAGTTGTAGTTCTTTTTCCATTGTTTGAAGGAAAAAATTTGAAATAAGATAAATGCCAATCACCAGATCCATAATGGTAACTTAGGGTCATACTCTTCCGTCAGGGACTTGATTGACGTGACCGTGAAGTTACAGGCAGGTGTGGTCTCTCTTAAATAGGTAAAAGATGTCATGAAGGACATCATGTCAGACCTGCAGCAGACGAACAGTGAGAAGATCCTACTGAGCTGGGTGCGGCAGACCACCAGGCCCTACAGCCAAGTCAACGTCCTCAACTTCACCACTAGCTGGACTGACGGACTTGCCTTCAATGCTGTGCTCCACCGACACAAGTAAGACATCTCTCAGCTTAGAAGAGGGCTTTCCACACTTGCAGGTCCTCTCTGGCCCTTCTTTGTCCTTTGCTCCAAAGCTCCTTCCCCAGAATCTCTGATCTGTTCATTGCACTTGCTCAGCCAGAACATGAAGAAAAGAGCTATCATGGAAGAAAACCACCCATGGAGTCTCCAAATGCCACAGTGCAATGTCCATGATTTCTCCTACATATTTATAACTTAAAAAATGTAAGATAATTCACATAGTTCGATCCCACTCATTCAGCCTTCAGTAATACACACAAAGAATTGTGTTCATTTCTATTCTTATAGCAAAAGTAAAACTATGTATTCAATGTAATCCCAATTAAAAATAACCACATAATTTTTCTCATGAAACTTGTAAAAAGATTCTAATTTGTCTACAAAAGTACAAAGGTCCCAGAGTAATCCAGAGTACACTGGAGAAGAACCAGGCTGGAACCTAGTCCCCCAAAGAACCAAAACTATGAAGCTGTATTATTTAAGATTATGCAGTGCTATAAGTAAATAAAGTAACATAATAGATAGAATTATATGAAATTGCCAATACTTGACTGTTTTTGATGTATAAAAATGGTGGCCATATGATTCATCCTAACCAAATAAAGAGCTCCATTACTTAGGAAAAATTGCTCCATTACTTAGGAAAAACTGATAATAAATTGAACTGATATTGCACATTAATAGATGATATGGGACAGTTGGTAATCCATAAGTAAATAAATGCATTGGGTTCTTATCTCCCCATACCGCCCCCCCCAATAAATTCTGCATGGATCAAGGATTTAAATGCCAAAGGCAAAATTTGTTATGTTTTATTGCTATTGTAAATTATTCATTTTCTCCTTTCATTTTTCTGCAATGTTCTTGGCTGGTATATAAAAATGTAATAGACTTTTTTACATTTTATATCTGGAAACTTATTAAATTCTTCTGAATTTTAGTAAGTTTGTCTCTATGGCCTGTGGGAGATTTTTTTCCCCTGTTTTTTTGTTTTGGGTGGGGTGGGATGGGTGGAGGCTGGTGGTGGTGGTGGTGGTGGTTAGAATGTCCTTGAATTAGGATTGTTTTCTTCTCTCTTTTTTTTTTTTTTCTGTTTCTCCTGGTGCCTTGTACTTTAGTGCAGTATTGATTCAGTGATAGTGAGCAGAATGTTTTGTTCCTGGTAACAAAGGCATTGCTTTTCATGTTGTACCATAAGAATGGGGTCTGCTGTAGCTTTTTTTTTTTGCTACACTGTCTTTTTTTTTTTTTTAATGAAGTTAAAGCCTTCCTCCTCCATATTCTTCCACTCCTCCTGATTCAGCTTAAGGAGGCTGTTCTCTGATCCTTGCTGGCTTAGAGCTTTTATCAGGAAAAAGTATTCATTTAGTCATTACTTTTCCCATCTATTAATTGATTCAGCAAGTACATGAGGAGTGCCTGCTGTGTGCCAGACACAGGTGTCAAGCAGAGAACCAAATGGGGAAAAATCCTAGTCCACTTGGAGTTGACGTTCCAACAGAGGAAGGGAGACAGACTTTTAAAAATGGGAATATAAGTTGTACCTAGAAATCTTAAACATACTGAAGAGCAACACATTAAACAAGAGGGTAGGAGGCACCTGGTCTGTGGGAGGCCAGGGTCTGTTGGGGGCTGAGTGGTGGGAGTAGGGACAAGAAGTCAGGGAGGAGCTTGGGGAGAGGAGGGTGGGGGATCAAGTCCCAGAAGGCATGTGGGTCAAAGATTTAAGAGCACAGAGAAAATGATCACTTTTGGGGTATGTCAATGTGACAGTAGTGTCCAAGTTGTGAGACTAAAGGAAAATCAAGATAGCAATGAAATGCTAACAACCTAGAGGGGGCAGTGGAGGGCAAGCCTCTCAGGGCCTTTGGTTTAGAAATGCCATGTGAACTGATTAGAGCTGGATTTTCTATTTGGCTGATCTTGGACTTTTAATTGAAGATTTTTTTTGTCCAGTAACTTTGTGGTAACTGATACATTTAAGTTCATTGTTGTCACTCAGTTTGGACTTTTTAAATTTTTTTTACCTTTTCTTTTTTGTTTACTTTTTACCATTTTTTTAAAAAAATTTTTTAGTTTTAGATGGACATATCTTTATTTTATTTTTATGTGGTGCTGAGGATCAAACCTAATGCCTCACACATGCTAGGCAAGTGCCCTACTACTGAGCTATAACCACAGCCCTTACCCAGAAATCTTAACTGGAATATTTAATACAAAAGCCTTAGAATGTGTTATCTGTTATTTTTATATTTGTAATTTACTTTCAAATATTTTCTATTTGATAAACCATTGGGATATAAAATATTTAATTCTTAAAAAAAAAACCTCACAACTTAAAAAAATCTAAAATCTAAAACTGAAACATAATTAGATTGTAACAATGCCTTTTTTTTTTTCCACAATATTTTATCTTCATTGAATTTTATTTGCAATGTGATTTCAGGCCGGATCTCTTCAGCTGGGATAGAGTTGTCAAAATGTCCCCAATTGAGAGACTGGAACATGCCTTCAGCAAGGCTCAGACTTATTTGGGAATTGAAAAGCTGTTAGATCCTGAAGGTATTGTTCAGTATTTACTTTGAACCTTGATTTTGCTTTATAATATTGAATCCTTGAAAAGCAATATTTTTTCCTCTTTAGGCTGATTTATGAGAATTGAAGAATCTTTTTCTTTTTGAAGTATAGCTATAAGCCACTTATTGCAGATGAATTATTAGTACTTTTGTATTTACAATTTGTGAAATTGTTTAGGTAGAAAGTATTTCATCGGATAATAGCTAATCTATTATATCAACTAAGATTTTAAGTTTTAGAAGATTATAAGTTTTAGAAAGATATATTTACTAAATGAGCAATTCAGTAGTTTATGAAAGTAGATTTTTAGTTATAAATGTTGTAGGGTTGAATTTTAAACTTACCTTCATAGTCTGAATGACGTCTATATCATTATTTTAAGTGATAACATGTAGTAAGTTACCTTTGTGCATTCTGAGAAAGATTGCAGAGAAGATTTTTAAGGAATGGCATACCAAATAAAAAATAAGTAATCTTCTTTGCCTTTGTCTCATATATTGTAACAAAACCACAATTTACTGAGACATGGTATTGCGAAGATTATAGATTAAGTATTGTTTATGGGTACTAGGGATAGTTATTTTATGCCTAGTATTGAGCAGCTCACGTATTTTGGACATCTAATTTCGGCTGGTTCTTTTTTTCTTCCACTTTTAGATGTTGCTGTTCAGCTTCCTGACAAGAAATCCATAATTATGTATTTAACATCTTTGTTTGAGGTGCTACCTCAGCAAGTCACAATCGATGCCATCCGAGAGGTTGAGACGCTCCCAAGGAAATACAAGAAAGAATGTGAAGAGGAAGAAATTCAGTTACAGGTACCAGAACCTTTTTGTTAAATGTTGGACTTGTCCTGTTTGTTTCCTCACAGGTACCAGATAATGACATCTCAGAGGGTGTTTTCTTGACTGAGAACATCTTGATTTCTCAGTTCAGGGTTTCAGTAAATGGGCTGTCACATCATGCCGTGGAAAACCACAACTCACCCAACTTTATTAAGAAGGAGCGGGTCTTATTTCACGCAGGGAGGCTGGAGTTAGGATCTGGGCTTGTTGACAGTGCTAAGTGTGTCCTGTTTAAGATCCTCGGCTTTCCTGTGTCTGGTCACCATCTTTTATCACCTTTGTCTTGTGCTAGGATGGTTTTACTCATGTCAACCCTAGTACTTTTTTAATTACTAATTTTCTGCCCCCCCCTTAATTATTTCTCTGATTATAGTCTCACAACGCCTATTAAAATATAAGTTTATTTTCCCTTAGGAGAGTAATCTACAATAAGCTACTTGTCAAGTTTTTCATGAAAGGGCTTAACAATAGTTTTATTCATCAGAATGTAAATGAGTTTTCCCCCAGGAGACATAAATAAAATAATGAATATGTTTCTTCCTTCATTATCTTGCCTTAAATAAATTCATTTTATTTTTTTAAATATTTATTTTTTAGTTGTAGTTGGACCTAATACCTTTATTTTATTTATTTATTTTTATGTGGTGCTGGGGATCGAACCCAGGGCCTCACACTTGCTAGGCGATTGCTCTACTGCTGAGCCTCAACTCCAGCTCTATCTTTTTGTTTTAGACTAACTAATCTGAATTTATAAAATGAGAGGCTCTCCAGAGTTGGATCAGATCTTGGAAGTCACTTGGTCAAACATTTTAGCAACTAAGCAACAGAAAAGATACACATGGGTTTCACAATTATAAGAAATTCATTGTGGAGAGGCAGAAAGTTTGGGCTCTGGTGTATAAATTTCATTCTCTTGCTACTTGCTTTGGGTCAGTTATTTAACCTCTCAATGAATGTGTTTGAAACTAGCTGCTTGACAATGTATCGAAAGTGTCTAAAATGATATTACTAAGCATTTGACAAGCACAAACTATCATTATTATAATTTTTTTCCTCTCAATTTGTTTTGCCATTTGTATTCTACAACTTCCTTTTTAAAAAATGCTAACTGAATTTCCATGTTAGGATGGTAATTATGAGATGACCTAGAATCTCCTGCCCCTGCCCCAACTTCCACGGTTCAGAAAACTTACTTATTATTTTACATTTTATTTGGATAGTATGTACTAATACTTTATCTTTTTCTCTATTTCAAACTAGCATGGTTTTTAGAAACAGAAAAAAACTGATTGGGGAAAAGAGAAGAGATGTGGATGCGAGGAAAAGCCCTTAACATCTTATGACTGGCTGTGTTTGTCTCTCTCTTTTTTTTTTTTTAAAGAGAGAGGAGAGAGAGAATTTTTAATATTTATTTTTTAGTTATTGGCGGACACAACATCTTTGTTTGTATGTAGTGCTGAGGATTGAACCCGGGCCGCACGCATGCCAGGCGAGCGCACTACCACTTGAGCCACATCCCCAGACCCTGTGTTTGTCTCTTGTGGATTGTTAATAATGTACCTTTTGAGGTGACTCTGATAATCTGGATTTGCCTCTTGGTTTTGCAATTATCTCTTTATTGGACCAGGGTTCTTCTTCTTCTTCTTTTTCTTTAAGAGGATATTTTAATTCTTATAATTCCCGCCATTCTTTTTGTTTGTTTTTTGTTACTGGTGATTGAACCCAGAGGATCTTAATGAGCCCACATCCCCAGCCCTTTTAAATATTTTATTTAGAGACAGGGTCACACTAAATTGCTTAGGGCTTCGCTTTTGCTGAGGCTGGCTTTGCACTTGCAATCCTCCTGCCTCTGCCTCCCAAACTGCTGGGATTACAGGTGTAATCGCACTTGGTGCCATTCTGTCTTAAAAGGGAAGGGGACTGTCTTTGCCTTTATGATGTGTATGTAAAATAATTACGTGTATTTAGGGTTGGGGTTGGCACTATGAGGACTGCACTAACCATTTACTATTTGCTGACAAGCTGGTGTATTAACACGAAACTCCTTATTTATATGCTTTCATTAGTGTCAGATGTTGAGTGGCAAGAAAAAATGAAGTGTGGTGAAGTTTTAATCCTCTGCTCTTTGACATAGCTTGCCTTCTGCTACTCTCCAGCATGTGCTAATGGTCGCTGTTCTCCCAGCTCTGGCCTTTCTACACACACGTGCTGTGTCGCAGTAGGTGATCAACAAATGATTTCTGTGCTTCTTCCCAGCTGTCTGCCTTTTGAACATCTCCTCATGTGTTTTAACTGATACCTTTTGGACGCATGTGTGTAGATACACCTTCCATCTCATAGATGCTGGTTCCTATCCATGTGGCTTCTGGCTGGTCACTAACTTTCCCAGTTCTTCTATAGCCTTATTATAGTATAGAGATTTGGTCCACATGATCCTTAGAGTTATTTCAGCTCTGTGGGTTCAGGATTTTAGGTCTAGAGCTTCACTCATTTCTCTTTTCCTATCTTTGGCACCATCCACCCTTTCCTCATTCAGCTCAGAGCTTACTGGTCCATTCCCCGCCTCCCTGGCTGGTCTGTTAACTCCGATATTCAGTTTACTGTTTTTTGTTTTTAATTCTTCCTCCAAGATGTCTTCTGTGAGTTTTCCTTCTTTTTGTTAAAGAAAGACTAAAGACCTTTTTTCCCGTGTGGTTTGTCTGATGCGGCCTCTCTTCACACTGTATTTCTAGTGGACCTTTGCTCTTCTTCCCCAGCAGTTTGCCATGTGCAAAACACCCCTCCACCCACTATCCCCTGGCAAGCTGGCCACTTCTCCATAGTCTAAGTGGAACCTTTAGAGAGCAATCTTCTCTGATTAACTTACCAAAATCCAACTGTATTCTCCTTTTCTCTATTTCTTGCTATCACAGTAATTTTTGTAAACTCTGTTAAGAATTTTAAACTGTATTTTAGGAGCACTGAGAAAGTAGTGAAAGACTTTATGCAGGGAGTCTTTTGGATGTGATGCATTTTCTAAAGACCTTCTGCTGTGTAAGGAGTGGCTTGTGGAGGTAGGAGTCTAAGTGTCAAATGGGAGCATGCTGTCTTAGCCCTGCGGAGAGACATAGGTAGTTATGGAGATGGAATGGTCTGGATGGAGTTGAGATAATTTTTGCAGATGGGATCTGCTTCTATATTAGATATGGAAGATGAAAGAAAGAAGCCAAGCTGACTTTCGAGTTTAGCTGGAGTATTTAGATGCATAGAGCCTGAGAAGGAATACATTTTGGGAAAATAAACAAAAAGGGGACAGTTAACCATGGACATGTTTTGATATGCCCATGAAACATGAAATGAAGGTGTTAGGGTAGTTGGGTATAGGAATTTGAGGCCAGAAATGTGAATGTGAAATGTGTGCAGAAGACATAGATAGTTTTTCAAATTCTATCAAAATAGATGCAGTTATTCAAGCCAGAGTGTACAAAAAGGAGGAAAAAAGGCCCAGGACTGAATTTTGAGAAGATTAATTACTCATTGGTTGGCAGCTGCTGTTGAGCCAGGAGGAGTTCACTGGGCTGTTACTCTGCAAAAGGTGGGGTTCAGCTGGACAGCTAGAGAGCCACTAAAGTTTAAGTAAGAACCATGGGTGATCAGCACTTCGGGTTTCCTTGGAGCCCTTCTGGTTTATGTATGTTGTGCTAGCGGTTATTATAGAAATATTCTAGTAGTCTGGTTGATTATTTTGTCACTGTGAAGATGATGGTAGAAAAGTGGATCTTTTAACTTTTCATTTGCAGTCTGGGGGTATATTTAGCAAGTGAAAGGGAATGTTAGTGAAATCCCTCTGTTAAGTATAAGAGCATGTCTTATTGTTCTCTGTTCATTTGTGTACACATGAAATATTCTGTTTTAAAACAGTGGATAAAAGTCAATGCCATGGAGATAGTCTGCATAAATTTTAAAGAACTTTTGCTCTGAACAGGAACAAAAGAACAAAGAGACAAGTGGGTTTGGTGATAAGATACTGAAATACAGAAAGAAAAACGCAGTTTCTTAGAGCTTAAGAGAAATTGATTTTATGAGCCCTAAAAAACAAAAACAAAACAACAACAAAAAAAACCCCAAAACCAAAAAAAATTAAGGTAGCAAAAGAGCCATGGCCTCAAAAAACAAAACCCCAAACCAATCAGTACAATCAGTACCACAGCCTGTGTATATGACTGTCTTTCAGTGTCTGAGATGCAGCGTTAAAATTTAATTCAGTAAAAGCATTATAACCAGGGGTCAAAACAGAGTTCCAATGGCTCTTTTTCTGTAAATTATATTTGTTGTTCAAGGTTCAGTGTGGTTCAGCTCTTCTATGAAACTTTCCCAGTTGTTTCAGCCTTTGGTAAACTCAAATAGCAACACTGATGGGACTGCAACATTTATAACTTTGCTGAGAGCCATTTATTTTTGTTCAGAAGTGATTCATGTGGGTTATTTCTCTCTCCGCAACTATATTAGAATGGCCTGGAGTCTAGAACTCATGAGTGTGTGCTGCTGTTGTACATTTTGCTGTTCTAATACACTAAATAAATGCTTTATGATGAATTTTTGGAATTGCTACCCCAACTCCTGAGAATTAATTAATACCTGAGACTCAGTGGTGCCTGCCTTGGGTTCACCAGTGCATGTTGAACCCTCCTGACAATTGTGAGTTTTTTCTTGGCTTTGTTTTCATAGAGTACAGCAGCAGAGGAAGAACATCAGAGTCCCCGAGCTGACACCCCCAGCACTGTCACTGAAGTGGACATGGATCTGGACAGCTATCAGATAGCACTGGAAGAAGTACTGACCTGGTTGCTTTCTGCAGAGGACACCTTTCAGGAGCAGGATGACATTTCTGATGATGTGGAAGAAGTCAAAGACCAGTTTGCCACCCACGAAGTAAATATTTGTAGTTCATGAGCTGTATCTGTCTACCTTGGGGGTTGTGCTAAAATCCAGGGCTCCACCCTGATACTGGGTTTGTGGTTTGCTAAATTCTGCTCTGATGGAAATCAGTGCATAGTTCTGCTCATTTCTGAAATGTATTGCTTGGGTTAAAAATCAATACGATGACTTGTTATACCAAATCTTTAGGTTTTGAGTGTTCCCAGGAAGTGATTGAAGTGATTATTTTTATTTGTTATAGGATTAAGCAAATGTACAGTTTTACCCAGTGTTCCTATATAGTTTAGGTAATGAGAGTTCCTTGCTATTTTGAGGATATGATATATTGCAGTGAAGTGATTGTGACCATGTGGAGGTTTCTTTCTGGTGAAGCACTTTTTTGGTGAAGGTATTTTAATTGACAGATCTTATTTACTCTTTTGGATTCAAAAGGATAGAAGTTGTAAGCCTCTCCTTTTGTAGGAGTGTGGTGTTTTATTTATTTGCTTATGTATTTTGCAATACTGGGGATTGCACCCATGTACTCTGAGCTATATCTTCAGCCCTTTTTATTTTTATTTTGAAACAGGTCTTGCAAAGTTGCCCATTTTGGCTTTGAACTTGTGATCTTCCTTCCTCAGCCTCCCAGCTACCTGGGATTATAGGCATGCACCACCATGCCCAACTTTTTGACACTTATTCCTACTTCCATAATCCTTGGTAGGAAAATTAGCATGTACTTAAAAAAAAGCAGGTATTGTCAGAAATAACACTTTTCCTTGATCAATTTTTCTTTGACTTATGCCAGATGCTTTTTATTTTCAGACCTTAAAACATTGCACCAAAATCTACTTTACATGTGCTCTACTAGGCTACCTTTTTCTGCTGCATCAATATTTAGGCTGCGCTAGCTATTTATATTTTGTAGTAAGCAGCTCACAGATCTTCATGGTATACCTGTCTAGGCTTTTATGATGGAGCTGACCGCACACCAGAGCAGCGTGGGGAGTGTCCTGCAGGCGGGAAACCAGCTGATCACACAAGGCACCCTGTCAGATGAAGAGGAGTTCGAGATTCAGGAACAAATGACCCTACTGAATGCGCGGTGGGAGGCTCTCCGGGTGGAGAGCATGGAGAGACAGTCCCGGTAAGTATGCCTCAGCAGGTGAGCACTGTATTCCACAGACTGCATTGTACAGTTGAGCTCAGGAGGTAGTCTGCCTTTCTGTGCAAAATCAAGATCAGCACAGAACCAGCCTCATGACATCTTGACTCTCCTCCGTGTTATATTGCTGGGGCTTAAATGATCTTTGTGTCCTTTTTGATAAGTTAGCTCATCCCCAAGGTAAAAGTTGGGAAGACACATTCCAAGTGGAGAGTTATCTATTGGCATGGTACTTAAATTGGCAAACCATTAACTGGGTGTGGTGACAGGACTATGTGGTATATATGGATGTACTGGTCCACATTGTAACGTTTATTTATAAAGCAATCTTTTCCCATAGTCCATTTTATTTCATATATTGTGTATTGCATTCTATTACCATTTCCACCTATTTAACAAGCAGGAATTCCTGATGGAAGAAACAATAATTCTGATATGAATAGAAGATGATGTTATTTACATTCTTTGGCTCCATTTAGGCAGAAAATAAAACTTTTTTTTCCCTCTGGGTTTCTGTATTTAAAGACCAAACACTGTATTAGTGGCTTTATGTGGGTGTGTTCCTGTGCTCCATCTCTTGGTGCGTGGAGTGGGTATGTCCCTTTGCAAGGGAAAGAGCTGGTGGGAATGATGCTGTGTCCCCTGGCCAGGCTGCATGACGTGCTGATGGAATTGCAGAAGAAGCAGCTGCAGCTGCTCTCGGCCTGGCTCACCCTCACGGAAGAACGCATTCAGAAGATGGAAACCCGCCCCCTGGACGATGATGTACAGTCCCTGCAGAAGTTGCTTGAAGAACATAAAGTAAATCTGTTTCCTGTTTCTTTTTTACTTCATCAAATATGAAAGAGCAGCACTTAGCATTCTCAGGGGCTGATAGCTTCTACCTTTAGTGTAGTGTTGGGACACTTTTGAGTTGTCTTTTCTTTAGCATCTCAGAGGGTGGAGCTCATGGGGATGTCACTTTTCTGGGCCAGAGAGGAAAGCACATGTACAGCTTTATAAGGGTATATGTGGTGTTCTTAAGAAATTGTGCAGCTTTCATAAATTTATATATATATATATTTTAGTTGTTGATGGACCTTTATTTTATTCATTTATTTATATGTGGTGCTGAGAATTGAACTCAGTGCTTCACACATGCTAGGCAAGTGCTCTACCACTGAGCCACAACTCCAGCCACTTTTGTAATTTTTGAGGAGGGTCTTTTGAGACCCATAAGTGGTTAAGAACCCTAGAGTGGGCTGGGGATGTGGCTCAAGCGGTAGCGCACTTGCCTGGAGTGCATGTGGCCTGGGTTCGATCCTCAGCACCACATACAAATAAACATGTTGTGTCCGCCAAAAACTAAAAAATAAATATTAAAATTCTCTCTCTCTCTCTCTCTCTCTCTCTCTCTCTCTCTCTCTCTCTAAAAAAACAAAAAACAAAAAAAACCCAAAAACCCTAGAGTGTTGCTGTTAATGCATGGTGTTGGGGAGGAAGCAAACCCTGAGAGGCACTTGTACTTAATCCTGTAAGAAACCCTGTTGCCTTTTCTATGATCCAAAAAGCATCAGGTACCGGGTGAGGAATCAAAATTTGGTGGACAATTTAATTTGGTCACAAGTTGAGTAGATAACTTTATCTCAGCCAAGAAAAAAAAAAAAAAGGTAGAGTAAAATGCCCTTTCTGTACATTAAAGAATTTTATTGATCCCTGAACCATCTTAGATAACTCATTAAAGGTTTTGGGGCTACATTAGCACTACTCAAGAGGTACCAGACAACACTAAGGATAGCGTTTACACAAATCACCTCTGTAGGTCTAATGGCCATGGCTTTCCCATGGAAAAGGGAAGACGGGAAGGGACCAGATGTCCTCAACTGCTTTTTGTGTGGCTGATGAGAATGGCCTCTGCAAACCATCCAGCCTCTGCTCATCTCTCAGTTTATACCATACGACTCTAGATCAAGCAGCTTGACTCTGTGTATTTAAGCTCTGGACTTTTAGATTTACCAAGTCTCCATTTTTGTCGTAATTCCTGGTTTAGACATTCAACTCCTTTATGCTTGTTTGGCTGTTGTTGTGCCCACTAGAACTGGGCACAGAAGAGACAACATCCATTAGCAATCTGTTTTGACATTGTGTTTTCAGACTGCTTTGCTTCATAATGAAACAGAAAGATGTATAGCAGCCTTGTTTCATTAGTGGGACACTTAGGGTAATGATTAGTAATTTAAATATGACGCTTCATTAGGTGTGCTTAATTATTATTGACAACTAAGTGGATTTTAAATAGGTAAGTGGGAAAGACAAGAAATAATAGTGCATCTTACTTTTTTTTTTTCCTCTAGAGTTTGCAAAATGATCTTGAGGCTGAACAGGTGAAAGTAAATTCCTTAACCCACATGGTGGTAATTGTTGATGAAAACAGTGGTGAGAATGCAACAGCTGTTCTGGAAGATCAGTTACAGGTAAGAAACCTTCAAAGTAGGGCAGTTCTGGAGGATCTATGATCCAAGACCCAACTGTGTTCCTCCTGGGCTTTAAGTCTTAAGTTATTGTTTATCCAAAAGGGTAGAAAAACTACTGTATTAGTCAGCTATTCATTATTATAATAAAACACTGGAGACAGACTACTTTATGAAGAAAAGAGGTTTATTCAACTCACAGTTTTGGAGGCTGGAAGTCCAAAGAGCATGGCATAGGCTCTTGAGAGGGACCTTTGGCTGAATCACATTATAGAGGGAGAACATGTGTATCTTTCTGTGTGGTCTCTCTTTCTGTTCTTATAAAGTTACCAGGATTCAATCATGGTGGCATCACCCTAATAATCTAATCTGCTCACTTGCCAGAGGACCTGCCTTATGTAGCATGATCAGATTAAGTTTCTTCCTCCTTAATATCCCTAAATGTTAAATGTCTGCCATGAATTGTGGTGGGTTGGAGGAAATCGTAGCACCTGCCTTTGGTTGACCTTCCCAGTTGGGGCCATGGCATGTGACTTACAGGAGTGCCTAGGTACTGACTTCAGCCTGTGGGGTGAATGGGTGGGGCTGCTTGCCCAGCTTCCTTGTGTATAGTAGTGACAAGATTGCGAAGCCCAGGAACAGATCACAAGTGGTCTCCAGACCTTAATCAGAAATACTCAAAGAATTTGTAGAATGCTTCAAGATATGGATTCCAGCCCCATGCAGACCTGAAATCTTGCACTGCAGGGAGCTGGGGAAAAGATGACCAGTGGATGTTCACTGTACAAAAATCTGTATATGCATACTAGAATTCGAGAATCTTAGCTATATAGGATTTAACATCCCCTATTTTTTTTTTTTTGATAGATCTGTGTGTAGGGTAAACAACATTTTGGGGAGGCCCAATAAAATGCTTCTTTTTCAATGAGGTGATAGTATATTTTTACAGTTCTTTTTTTTTGTCAGTGCTGGGAATTGAACCCAGAGGTACTCCTCCACTGAGCTATATCCCTAGCCCTTTTGATTTTTTATTTTGAGTTAGGGTCTGCCTAATTTGCCTTTAACTTATGATCCTCCTGCCTCAGCCTCTCGGGTAGCTGGAATTATAGGCATGTGCCACCGTGCCCTACAATGTTCCTGGAATTTAAATAGACAATAGGTTACCATCGTGAAACTGGAGGGCTTTCTTCTGGCTCTACATTCTCTACCTTTGCTGCATAAAAAGATTACATTGGTAATTAAATATCAAAATAGTATAATATAAATTGACTCTTGTTTCACATATAAGTAGCATGTAAATTTTTAACATTTGTCAAGCATTATTTATAAAGTGGTAATAAAATTTTTTAGGAAAAACCATTATTAAGGACTTTTTAAAATAGATTAACCAAATTTATTTAGTATTGCTTATACTTGTAAGATTCTGTTGCTTATTTATGTGGAGTTTTCTAGGAATTATGTGATATAAACCAACAATCTAATAAGCATTTTATTTTGTACGAATTCTCTTATTCAGAATGCTTTTATAAGTTTAAACATTTATCATAATTTTGGTACTGTAGATGAAAACTTTCTTGGCATTGTAAAAGATAAAGAAATAAAACTGATAGACTGAAATTTTTAAGAAAACCATTATAGTCTGAAAAAAACTGAAGTACATAAAGTAAACATGTTTACTCTTTTGAAGATATATGTAGGGCTGGAGATGTGGCTCAAGTGGTAGCGCGCTTGCCTGGCATGCGTGCGGCCCGGATTTGGTCCTCAGTACCACATACAAACAAAGATGTTTTGTCTGCCGATAACTAAAAAATAAATATTAAAAAATTCTCTCTCTCTGTCTGTCTCTCTCTCTCTCTAAAAAAAAATAATTTAAAAAAAGATATATGTAAAAATGTCACATTCTTTTTTTGGTATGGATATTGAACCCAGGGGCACATAACACTGAGCTGCATCCTCAGTTCTTTTGAGACAGGTTCTTGTTAAGTTCCTGAGAGCCTCAGTAAGTTGCTGAGGCTGGCCTTCAATTTGTAGTACCCCTGTCTTACTCTTCCTAGCTGCTGGGATTGTAGGAATACACCATCATGCCCAGCAAAAATATCACCTTTTTCATAAAATCCACAATGAAATGGAAGCAGCGTGATTGAGTTCTAGCTGTGCTACCTTCTTGCTTAGTAATGTGAAATAATTAAATTCTGTAGAAACTGTTTTTTTTTCTCATGTATTTATACACTGATAGGATTAGTCAGTACTATTTTAAAGCAACTTTTAAATAAGTGCTTTTTAAAAAATAAATTGCTACTCTGTAACAAAGAGCAATGGGAATTGTAACTTTTTTATGATTTATTTATTAATTTATTAGTAAGATTGTTTATTGCAGATACCATTGTACCTCGTAAAACATGCATGGATGAGTTAGATAGGCTTAAACATTATACAGTGCATACATGCATCAAAACATGTGGTCCTCAATTAATATGCACAACTTTTGTTTTATAATGGAATATTACTCAACTTTAAAGAATAATTAAATTATGGCATTTGCAGATAAATGGATGGAGTTGGAGAATATCCTGCTAAGCAACATAAGCCAATCCCCCAAAACCAAAGGCTAAATGTTTTCTCTAATATGTGGATACTAATTCACAATAAGGGGGGAGGTGCAGTAGGGAAGAATAGAGTTACCTTAGATTAGATAGAGGGGAGTGAAAGGAGGGGAGGGGAGAGGATGTGGGAATAGGAAGGATAGTAGAATGAAACAGACATTATATATATATATAAACTGCATGATCAATGTGATTCTACAACATGTACAATCAGAAAAATGAGAAATTATACCCCATATATGTATATCAAAGTGCATAAATACATTCTACTGTCATGCATAACTAATTAAAACAAATAAAAAATTTAAAAAAAGAAATTAACCTTTCTAAGGATTATGATCGCTCTCTCTTCAGGCTCTGTTGACTGAGGCTGGTTTTCTTTCTCCCCTAGAAACTTGGTGAGCGTTGGACAGCCGTGTGCCGTTGGACCGAAGAGCGTTGGAATAGGTTACAAGAAATCCATATCCTATGGCAGGAACTGTTGGAAGAACAGGTACGAAACTCCTGTCTATTAGCAACAAAATAGATGGTGAAAAGTAACCCATCTTTTATTATGGCATTAGAATAAAGTTGTCCTGTTTCTTTTTCTTTGAAAGGAAAACATGCAAGTGGTTATTCATTATCATAAAAGTCAGATTCTTCCCAGATGTAGTGTAGCACACCGATAATCCCAGTGACTTGGGAGGGTAAGGTGGGAGGATGGCAAGTTCAAGGCCAGCCTGGGCAACTTGGTGAGATCCTGTCTTAAAACAAAAAAAAAAAAAAATAAAAAGGTCTGGGTATGTCGCTTAGTGGTGGAGTGCCCCAGAGTTTAATCTTCAGTATTGTATTAAAAAAAAAAAACCAGATTTCTATCCATTCTGTCATGCACCTTATTGATAAAGATCAGGTTATATGGCTCCTTTGTAATAATACTTATTAGATTTGCATTTTTTTTTTTTTACAATGTTAGCATTCTGATAGGGTACATTCCTGATTTGGTGAACATAATCATTATTGGATCTGTGTTGGATGATGTTTGAATTTGTATCCGCACAATTGCTAGAGTATAGTCTGTGTTGAGTAAATAACAAATAAATGAGTCTGCCCAGTGTATTCTAAACTTTAATCACAAGATTTTTTTCTTGATGTTTTACTAGAAAAAGTACTGAAGTTAACTGGGTAATATTTTGTAGCAATACCTTTGGTTAAACAGTATGTTTTTTTCACTAGTTCTCACTACAGCAAATGAAAAGAGGGTACGAAGTTGCCACCTTGATTTTCCAGTCAGAATAGTGGCCATTTGCCCTTCCTCCGCGCTTCGAGAAAAGCAGCCCTCAAAACAGAATACACAAATCAAAACTTTTCTTCCCAAATGATTGTGGTCTAGAAAATAAGCACGTGCTCTGTTTCCTCGTCTGTGATACCCATTTTAATTCTGTCAAATGAATTTCATTTCCACCCACAAAAAGCAAGTGTATTCTCTTCAGGAGGGGAAAGAGAAGCCAAACCAAGGGCAGGAGGTTTTGTGGTTTACTAAATATGGTGGCAGATCCTACGTCTTAAAAAGTAGGTTGCAAGATTTGTCCAAATATAAATCATTAGTCACTACCCCTCATTTAGTCATAATTTTCCTATTAAGAATCACATAATGAATCTGATTCTGCTTTCTAAAATATTTATGGTGTACTTCACAAATATTTATTTTTACTTGGAACTTTGTATTTAGGGCGAAGAGTTACACAGAATGGTTTAATTCTTTCTTCAGTGATGACGGTCGAGAGACTTTGATTGCCAGAGAAAATCATGGTGTTACTTTCATATTAGCCTTTTATTCCCTTCCTCCCTCTTTTCCTCCCTCCCTCCCTCCATTCTTTCCTCCCTCCTTCTCTTACTTCCTTTCCTCCCTCTCTCTGTCACCTGGAGGTGAGGAATAATCGAAAATTGATAAATAAAAGAATTGAGGAAGTGTTGATCCCATTGCGCACACAGAACCAAAGCACCTGCTCCCTGCTGTGCAGGAAGGGGTTTCTGACTCCATGCTAGATTTGGGGAGAATTATCCACAGTTGTTTTCCACTCCTCTTCTAGGTTATCTCTTTACATTGCTTAACATCTTCTACTTAAGAACATGCATTTTTGACCAAAGAGCTTTAAATATTTTTTTGGTTGGTTTTGGACCATCCTCAGACTTTCTCCTTTAATCATAATTGCTGTTGAACTTTGAATGTAAATATACTTTTTCTGGTTGACATTGTGGGAAGAGCCTTGGTTTCTGAATGAGGGTCCTTACTCTAGCTCAGCCATTAACTAGCCAGCTGATCTTGAATATATAACTTCACTTCTCTGTTTTCCTCTCTAAATTGTGGGCCTGGGACAAGACCATTTTGAATCTTCCTTTGCCTCTAGATTTATAACATATGATTCTTTCAGAAACATGGATAGCTGTATTTAGCATTTTGTATCCAGCCACTGCCCTGAGCATTAGGTTTAGTCACTATATGAGTCTGTTTTCTGTTGCTATAACAAAATTTCTGAGGCTGGGTAATGTATGAAGAAAACAATGTATTTAGCTCACAGTTTGAGAGGCAGTGTCAGGTGGCAGGTAACATCATGGTGAAGGTACATGTGAGAAGCAGTGATCATATATGGTGAACAGGCTAGAGAGCAGGGAGTGGTCAGTTTGTTCTTTTATAATGGTTCTGTTTTAGGAATTAATTGGAGTCCCATGAGAACTACACCTCTCTGACGGCAGCACCCTCAGTGACCTCCCATTAGACTCCACCTCCTTGAGGTGGTTCCACCATCTCACACCTTGAAACACTAGAGACCAAACTTCCAACATGGCTCCTTGGAGAACATCCACATAACGTATCCTACTGTAATCATTACCCAGGTTCAGGTTAATGTCAAGTTTATCTCTTGTAAAGCTGATAATGTTAAATTGTTAAAGAAAGGTCTTTTTCTGGGTCATTTTTGTGCCTCTGACTTAGGTGTTTGAAATCCTTATCAGAACCCAGGTAAGGGTGAATCTGCTAATAAAAATTTGAGATTTGGTAACTTGATTGAACTGACCTTGCAAATGATTTCTTGGATATTTTCCAACTTTTGTTATTACTTGTAGTGCCTGTTGAAAGCCTGGCTTACCGAAAAAGAAGAGGCTTTGAATAAAGTCCAGACAAGCAACTTCAAAGACCAGAAGGAGCTAAGCGTCAGTGTTCGACGTCTGGCTGTAAGTCATGTCGTTGGCAATGTCTAGTTGTGAGCTTGTGTCGTCTTGGCTTTCCTCACTGTGAACACCACACCTGACAAGAACAACTTAGAGGAGAAAAAATTCATTTGGGCTATTTCAGAGGTTCAGTTCATGATTGGCTCTGGGCCCCAGGTGAGGCAGAGCATCACGGCAGAAGGGCATCATGGAGGAAAGCTGTTGGCCGCAGAGAGAGTGAGGTCTAGGGACAAAATATACTCACCAAAGTCCTGCCCCCATTGACCTACTCCTTCCAGCCACACCCTACCTGTCTACAGTTATCACCCAGTACAATAGTCTTTTCAAATTTTTAACCCATCAAATAGATTAATCTACTGATTAGGTTATAGCTCTCATACTCAAATCACATTACCTCTGAACTTTCCTGCATTGTCTATCATGAGCTTTTTTGGGGAGAAATTTCACATCCAAACCATAACATTCTGTTCCTGGCCCCCCAAAACTCATGTCCATCTCACAATGCAAAGTGCATTCTGTCAGTGTTCTGTGTTGATGGTTAATAGGATGCAATGAATGCGAATTATAGCTCAGGACCCTGCAGGACACTGTTGTCATGCATTGATCTGGAACCACAAGCCTTGTGTTTTAGTATAGTGAATCACGTTCCTTTTAAATTTAACGAAAAAATGAACATGTTCAAATTTCCTGATTGGGGAATAGGAAGACAGAATCCTGTTGAGAGAGAATTGTCTAATAAGTATCTGAAATCCTAGATTTTGAAGGAAGATATGGAAATGAAACGCCAAACATTGGATCAGCTGAGTGAGATTGGCCAGGATGTGGGTCAGTTACTTGATAATCCCAAGGCATCTGAGAAGATGAACAGTGACTCGGAGGAGCTGACTCAGAGATGGGATTCTTTGGTTCAGAGACTAGAAGATTCCTCTAACCAGGTACCTTTTGATTTGGATAGAATGTTGTACCAGGAAGTAAAAATTTAAATGTTCAGGTCGGTTTGGGCTTTTATGAAATGAAAGACTTGTTGGTGAACTAAAAGTTGATTCCTCTCTGATGAGTAATTGATAATGTGGAAATCTTCTTCCATTCTCTAATATAAATTTTAATAGATTTTCCAAAAACTTAATATTCAGTAGTTCAATCTGCAGTAATTAATAACACTTAAGACATATATCCAGCATATAATCTTAAAATTTTAAATCTCAAGTAATCTTATTAATCTAAAGATATTTTGTGAATTGAAATAAGACTTTGGTATATACATAAATGTTTATAGCAACATTATTAATAACAGTAAAAAAGTGGAACAACCCAAATATCCATCTATGGATGAATGGATGAATAAAACATGGTGAAGCCAGGCAATGCAGTTTTACTTTGCCGTAAAAAATAATAAAGTGTTAACCTGTGCTGCAGTTAGGGATGAATCATGAAAACATGCTAGGTAAAAGAAGCCAAATGCCAGATTATATGCCCTCTGATTCCATTTGTTTCAAATGTCCAGAACAGACGAATCCTTTGAGACAGAAGGCAGATAGCTAGTTGCCAGGGTTGGGGGATAGAGTTTGCAAAGTTGCTCTTAAGAGAGAGAAAGTTTCTTTTGGAGGGTTAGCAAAGCTCTGCGAATATACTAATAACTACTGAATTGTACATTTTTCAAAGGGAAAATTTCATGATATGTTATTTATATCTCGAAAAAGCTCTTTATACAAAATTCAAATTTGTGTGATTTTTATCTCAGGTGACTCAGGCTGTAGCAAAGCTGGGGATGTCCCAGATTCCTCAGAAGGATCTTTTGGAGACGGTTCGTGTAAGAGAACAAGTAACTACCAAAAAGTCTAAGCAGGAACTGCCGCCACCTCCTCCCCCAAAGAAGAGACAGGTCCACGTGGACATTGAAGCTAAGAAAACGTGAGAGCAGAGAAATTCCCTAGACCCAGTGTTGTACACAGTGCATTTGACAGTTGACACTTATTTTGTACTAATCACTAATGAAGTGCAAATTGTGACATAATTATTATTATGGAAATTCAAGTCTGAAGTGCCTTTGAGTCATTTGAATATTCTGCTTCACACTAGCTAAGCATCTCCATTGTGCTGGATGGTTTTATTTATCTCATGTTTAATTTGCCAAACTCTGTGGAGAAACTCCCTGTTTTCCTTTCCCATCCTTTACCTTGGAATGAAATGATCGTTCACAGCTCTTGGTTTATTCTTTCTTTCACAATTTACAACTTGGACGGTTTTCCTTTAGATAGGTTCTTTATTCTTTGTCAATCTCCCTCTACTCACCATTAAAAATGATTTCTAACAACTCCTTTTTAGTGTCACCTTTTTCTTCCTCATTCTTTTTTCATGTTTCCTTGGTTAATTCCTTTGTCAGATTCATTAACAGATTCTTCCTGTTTGGTATCAAGGTTCACCTTTGTTGTGAAATGTTTCTTTTTGCTTTACTGATTCAAAAGAAAACTCAGGGTCTTTGTAAGAAGAACGCTCACAGCAGACATCTGTTGAACTCCTGCTGATGTCAGATTTCTGTTCAGCCCTACTGTATTCCAGGCACTCTATCTTACATGCACCATAGTGGTGCATCCTCAAAGTGACCTTTGATGGGCACTGTTATGCTCCATTTACAGTAGGACCCCAGGGCTTGATTAAATGGGCAGGGATTTGAGACCCAAATGAAAGTGATATTGCTTTTTCTAATTAAGTTTTTTTGAGACAAAGCAGGATTTCAGTTTTATCAGATGATTTTCATTTTGATCATAATCCTGCCTCCTAGTAGCCTTTTCTTGGAGGACCACTGTATCTCTGAGTTGTAAGCAGCAGCTGTGTCACCTTTACTCTTGGAGCCAAGGCAGCCAGGTGGAAGATGATCTGGCACAGATCCTACGTCTCCTGAGTGCCTATTAGCTGCCAGGTGTATCTGACAGTGCATCTCTCAGTGCTGACTTTGTGCATTTGAAAGGATGGAAGGTTGGGAAAGACTAGATGTGTCGCTGTGAAAGTTGAATTTTAAACACGTCTGTAGTGTATTCGGAGCTTTCTGGGCTAGAAACAGAGAATGTACCCAAAGTGGTTAAACAGTGAGGTCCTTACAAGAAAAACAGAAGCAGGGCAATTTTAACAGGAGAGTGTACTTTGATACGCCTCCACCTTACTCTCTGCCAGTTTTTCACCTGCAGCCCTGTCTTCTCAGCAAGAGACTCCCCTGGTATCACTGCCCAGAATTCACCCACTTGTTTGTGTGGGTTTTTTTTTTTTTTAAGAATTTAACCTTTATTTTTTATTTGTTTGTTTTTTATGTGGTGCTGAGGATTGAACCTAGTGCCTCACCCATGCTAGGCAAGCGCTCTACCACTTGTTTTTGCCATGCGCACGTGGGAGGTCGAGATGGTTTGTTTTGTTCAGTCTCTGTAGTTTGGCTTCTGGGGGATTCAGGCAGTAAGGGAGAGGTCTACAAGAGAGGATAATAAGCAACCAACTCTGAGGACCACAGTTATCCAGCCCATGATTGGATTATCGCAGACATTACTTCAGTTAATTCCTAGACAATTAGAGACTTAAGCACTGGGTAGTTCATTAGAGTAGAAGGTGGTTAAATATCATTATTAGAAATGTTATTTCTGCACCCATAGTCTGCCCCCTCTAATCTACCCATGAGTGGTTGCTCTTCTTTCTGGAGCAGTATGGAGTCACATAGTTCCTCTTCAGAATTTGAAGACAGCTTTCATAGTCCAGTTCTCACTGTCCTAAAGGCCAGAGTGTCTGTAAGTATTCCTAGTGTGACATGGTTTCCAGATCCTTCAGATGTTCATTCTGCTCTGGATGCCACTGTTTACTTGTCTTAAGGTGACCTGCCTGAGCAGCTGAGAACCGTAAATAACTGATTCCTTCTCTTCTCATGATGTCACTGGTGGTGGTGTTTTTGCCTGCTCCGGGCATGGCTGGACAGTTGTTTCCTACAATCTGGATATCTGTTTCTGTGACCTGAGATCATTGTACCACTTTTGTTCACTTGGAGTACAGAAGTATACCGAGTCTCCAAGGTCATTTCACACATGTGATCTTTGGATGGCCTTCCTCTTTTTCTGAAAGAGAGAGGTGGGATGACAGGAGGAGTCTCCTGTTTGTGCAGACACCTTGGCCTCTGGGTGTTTACCCAGAGCATCATAAAATACCTTCTGTATGACCACCCCAAACTCTTGAGACCCAGAATTCTCTGAACTAAAAGGGTTTTAATTTGTAGTTATAGATGCTGGCAAGAAAGGACCAGGTCCTGGACAAGTTCCAAATCTTCCAGCAGCAGGACTAGATGGAAATATATCTGCTGAACTTATGAGCCAAGAGCAATTGTATAATAAAAATTTGGGGAAGGGAAGTATAAATTGTTTGCATTGAACTTAATTAACTATAGATAAGAGGGGAAGATAGTGCCAAGCAGGGAAAGTTTGGGGAGAGGAGGACAGTCCATATCTTGCTTCAGGATTGATTGGTGTTAGTAGTCTGGAAAGTTCATGTGTCAACAGGGGTGATGGTGCTTAGGGGGTCAGCCACCAGGGGTGTTCAGTCAAGGTTTTAACTTACATTCAGGAATGTGGAACAGTCTTTTGTTAGTTTTGGTTGGTAACTGTTAACTGATTAGCTTCCCTTATCTCTTCCCCCTTCATCCTCTAGTCTTTGTAATTAAATTTAAACGTCTTGGAATTTTTGTTTTATCACACATTATAGGAAAACCTGTCTTGGAAAAAGGTCAGTTTATTCATTACTCACTAGAAACACACACATCAAGAGAAATTTCCCAAAGGAACCAAGGTGAGAATCCCAGCTGCTGCTTAAAGTACTGAGAACACTATGGGCAGGAGGTTGGGCTGCCTCGATTGAAGCCCAGCCCCGCCACTTATTAGTGTGGCACAATTACTGTAAAGTTCCGTGAGCTCAGTTGAACATACTTCAATGGAATACACTTCATAGGGCAATTGTGATTCTTAGAGTTAGTAATACGCATCAAATGCTAAGTGTTTTAGTCAGCTGGTTCTTGTCAAAAGCCTGACAAGAACAGTTAGAGGAGGAAAGGTTTATTTGGGGGCTCACAGTTTTAGCAGTGTCAGTCCATAGATGGCTAACTCCTTTGGTCTGGGCCTGAGGTGTGGCAGAATGACATGGCGGAAGAGTGCAGGAAAGCAGCTCAGAACATGGAACGAGAGGGAGGGAGGGAGGGAGGGAGAGAGAGAGAGAGAGAGAGAGAGAGAGAGAGAGAGAGAGAGAGAGAGAGAGAGATTGTTCCACTCTGGCAGGACAAAATATAACACAAAAGCCATGCTTCCGAAGACCCATCTCCTCTGGCCACACCCTACCTGACTACAGTTGCCACCCAGTTAATCCCTATCAGAGGATTAATGCACGGATTAGGTTAAAGCTTTCATAACCCAATCGTGTTTCCTCTAAGCTTCTTGAATCATCTCACACATGAACTCTGGGGGATACCTCATAGCTAAACCACAACACTCAGCCAAGGGCCTGGTCTCTGGCCAGCAGTCAGTGGCTATTTCTCTTGTTCCTCCTTGTGGTACTGTTGACCTGCCTTTGCAGTACCTCTTCCGATTGTCTACTTTCCTCTTTTCCACTGTCACTGTCTTAGTTCTGGGCTTTTCTCTGCACTTGCCTCTCTTTAATTCTGTCTCCTCAGTGAACACAAAAGTATGAATAGAATTAAATCAGTTCCATTTTAAAGTCTTCCACTCACTCTTAATTGTTCTTCGGTTAAGTCAGAATTCCTTAATGTCTCCTGCAGAATCTTCCATTAACTGGTCCCTGGGATCCTTGGCCACCTTGTCCATTACCCTTACCTGCAGGTGCTTGCTATCCAAACACACATAACAATTTGGAGATTGTAAAATATGACGTTCCCATCCATCTATCCATCCTTCTCTCCCTCCCTCCCTCCCCTCCTTCCTTCCTTCCTTGTTTTTTGTAAGGAAAACTGCTAAGTATAGCCATTGTTCTACACTGGAAGGCCATCCCTTCCCCATTGGATTAAGAGCCATTCCTGTGAATTCCTGGAAGTAGAATCTAGCAGATTCTTTTGTTATTGCTCTTGCTTGCTAGTGACTGGAGGCTTCTTGAGGGCTGAGGTTTGTGTGTCTCATTCTTCTTGATATCACAGCCCATGCCTGTGCCTGGCATGTAGTTGTACTTGATAATTATGTATGGAACAAAAAAGGCATTAAATTTAGTAATGTTTGTACTTGATTTCTTCTGTTACTATCTAACCAAATGTAGTTCTTATTATCTTTAAGAGTACATAAAAATACAAGGGGTTCCTTCCAAAGCTAAAAAATTGTAATTTGTTATTTATTTATTAATACTACAGTATTATTACTCAGTTCATACTCTTAATTATCCATGTATGATCTTAGTGTGGTTACTATATTTCTGGGTTACTATTTGGGAGCGTTGTTGGAAAACATAGACCCAATGGGCATTTGAATTGTTCTTTCTTGAACCAAGTGAAACAGGAAAACAAAATGAGAGGTGGTGATATCTGAATCTTAACTCAGGTTTGATGCTGTAAGTGCAGAGCTGATGAACTGGATTCTGAAATCAAAGACTGCCATTCAGAGTTCAGAGATAAAAGAGTATAAGAAGATGCAAGAGACTTCAGAAATGAAAAAGAAGTTGAAGGTAAAAAATAAAACAAAAATACTATACTGAGTAAAATATTTCATCAGGCTGGATTTGCTGTTGGCATAAGAATGTGATGGGATCCAGTCGGATAAATGCAGCCATAAGGTAGCTTCTAGAACATCATAGGAGATTTTGAAAACTTTTGTCCTGGCTCTTGGAGGATTCCCTGTGGTGAAGGATTTTTTTCTCCTTTTCTCTTCTGCAATTGTTCAGGTCTGCATGGGCCATGCTTCCTAAGGTTATGATCCAGTTTTTATTACTATTTTAAACCTGTTTCGATCTACTTGAATTATAATTTATGACTTTGTGTTATTTCAAAGATGTTTGGCCTTCTGAATACAGTAAACTATTTCAGATCTCAAAATGTCTTCAGTATGTTCTCTTTAAAGAAGTAATACTTCAAAAATTAGATAAAGTTTATATCCATAGATTCCACATGTGTAGACTTCACCAACTGTGAATTGAAAATATGGGGGAAAAAATTTTCCAGAAAGTTCCATAAAGTAAAACTGAAATTTGTTGTGCACTGAACACTTAGCTGAGTCCAGGAGAAGGAAGCCATGTGTGGACATATGCAGCTGTTCTGTAGCCTCCCACTATCCCATCTCATGCACCCTCAGCCTCTCTAGCACTCCTTACTTACTTCCTGTCTTATTCTTGTACTATACCGTTATACCTAGGATGGTGGCCTTTGTACTGATCTCATACAGACTTATTTCCTTGTCATATTCACCCCCCCCCCCCCAAATACACGATAACATCTATTTATGTAACATTTACACTCTTCTAGATATTATAAGTAATTTAAAGATGATTTAAAGTACACCAGAGGATTTCTTGGGTTAATGTGCCTACTACACCATTTTGTATAAGGGACTGAACATCCTCAGATTTTGGTGTCTGCAGGGGTGTCCTGGATCCAATCTTCCACAGATCCTGATGGATGACCTTAAGAAAATTATGAACTACACTTTAAATCTGAAGAACAAAATTGCTTTAGTTTGGGTTTTAAATAATATTTTCATTCTTAAAAATAATATATGAAAAATGCTTGCGGTTGAAGTTAGCATTAGACTTTAGAAATATAAAAACAACCAAAGAATAACACTGAACCTCCAAATATTTCCCTTTTTCTTGTAGTTATCATTTTTTCTCTGTGATGTCTGTCATAGCTCATTCAGTTCTTTGGATTCAAACCATTATTTTTATGGTGTGGAATTCTCAGACTATGTGAATAGTACCCTGAATCTAAAACAGTAATTTAACTTATTTCTTCTTGATAGAAACTCATCATTATAGTGTGCATACTTTCTTATAGAAGAAGCTGAAGTTTTTAGTTGCTGTCATTATTGTTTAAATTTATCTTTTCATATTTATTCATTTTTGGGGTACTGGAGCGTAGCCTGGAATTGTATAGTTTTTTTTTTTGTAAACTTTGAAATGCTTAAAGAAAATTTGAGAGGGACATTAAACATAAAAATTTAAAGTAGAATCAGCATTTTATTGAGAAGAAAGTGTACACTGTTCTTATATTGGAACTTTTTCTCCAGGGATTAGAAAAAGAACAGACAGAAAGACGCCCCCAGCTGGATGAATTAAACCGAACTGGACAAATCCTTTTGGAACAAATGGGAAAAGGTGAGACTCTTGATTTTTTTTTTTTCTCCCAGATTATTTCAGATGGTGAAATTGAATAATATTGCGGTTTGACATATCCAACAAATAACACTCTACTCTCTTTTATTTGTTAGAAAAATTATTTTCAATTTTTTTTTTTAGATAGCAGAATCTTTTAAAATAAATTTTATAGGGAAGTTAATTAGCAAAAGGAGATAAAAGCAAAGTCATTCTTCTTTTATGGGGTCAAGGAACTAAAAGTGAAACCTCAGCAGGATAACTAATGTCCAGTGGACAATTTTAAAACCTCATCCTTTGGGGTTCTGTATTGACCATTTTTTTCACAGGAGCGTAGCAAAAGGAAACTTTACTTTGACAACACTTGGCAGATGAAGTTACATTAAGTTAAACCCATAGTGGTATTTGAGTTTTTGATCACTTTCAGTGCATTATATTATTTTGCTCTAGGGATGTTTTTAATAGTAAAATATGATGTTGCTTGTATTTGAAGCTTTTACTTGAACTAAAGAACTTTAAAAAAAAAAAGATTAGTGTATTTTTTTTTTTTTTCTGTGCAGTTTAGCATATGGTTCTGTCTTCGGTCTAACTTTGAGGGATGTTTCTTGTACACCCTACTCCTTCCTCTAAGAGTGGTCAGTGCTCTGGGTCTGCTGTCGCTCTCCCTGACCAACACTGAGACACCAATGCAGAATTGGGAATACTAGTTTGACAAAAATCTCAAAGCAGTGGTTTCTAATCTTTGGTTTTGACTTTTTATTATGAAAATTGTAAGCATATTCAAAGCAAATAGAATAGTGTAGTGAACCTCTTTGTACAAGCTACCCACTTTGAAAATTAGTGATGATCTGCCATTCTGGAATTCTCTGTACCTTTGCCACTCCTTGTCCTTTTGAGTATTATTATTTTCTGTAGGTTTTTTTTTATAAGTGAAATTTGATTACACTGAAGTATATGAGACCTAGTTGTGCTGCTTTGACAAAAATACCCTGTGTAACTTACATGTGCCAAATCACTCCAGAAAGTGATCTCATGTCCCTTTTGGATGAATCAATCTGACCTCCCCATCATGCCCTCTGAAACAACTCTGCTCTTATTTTTTTTTTTTTTTGAACCTTACACTATTTTGCCACCAGTCTTTAAGAAAGTATGTCAGTTTATTTTATCTATCTATTTATCTATCTATCTGGTATATATGAGAGTTATACACAAAGATAAACACAAAATATGTAGCATATATCCACATATGTGTCCCATATATATTTATTTATTTCTAAATTATGCAAATGTGTCATTGTCAATCCATATAATTACCAAAGTTTAATATCTTTTTTTAAAATTTTTTTAAATTTATATATGACAGTGGAATGAATTACAATTCTTATTACACATATAGAGCACAATTTTTCATCTCTGGTTGTATACAGAGTATATTCACACCAATTCATATCTTCATACCTGTTAAGATGATAACATCCATCACATTCCACCATCATTTGCAGTGGGTCATGCCTGTAATCCCAGCAACTTGGGAGGCTAAGGCAGGAAGCCAGCCTCAGTAATTTATTGAGACCCTAAGCAACTTAATGGGACCCTTTCTTAAAAAAAAAAACAAAAACAAAAGCATGTTGCTGGAGTTGTAGCTCGGAGGTAGAGGACTTGCCTAGCATGTGTGAGGCACTAGGTTAGATTCTCAGCACTGTATATAAATAAATGAAAAAAATGAAGGTCCATCAATATCTAGAAAAAATATTTAAAAGAAATTTTAAAAACATAGGAAAAATAGGGATGAGGGGCTGGGATGTGGTTTATCATCCCCTGGGTTCAATCTCCAGTACCAAAAAAAAAAAAAAAAAAAGGAAAAAAGATAAATAGTGTTGTATGTTCTTTCAAAATCCACCCTAGCAGATTGTCTTAGTTATCCCATGTGTGGGCATCCTACCTGGAGATTACCCCTTCAGATATTTTCTTGAAGATCCAGAGACACAAGCAGACCATAATTTCCCTTGAGATGCTGATTCTTGCAATCATAATAGACAGCTGGGTGTTGAATTCATGTCCATTTCTGTTTTACATTCTTTACTTGTACCTCAACACTGTGCCTTGGGACTCTGTGTGTCTGGTGTGAAGGTCGGGTAGCTTCATGAGTTTGCCCACTGAGATTACCCCCCACCTAGGTTAGCGTTTAGTCGATGGGCAGAGGCAGAATTAGTGAGGATCCAGAGGGAAGACTGCCTGGGTGAGAAGTTGGTGAGAGGTGTCAGGTTATAGTGGGGACAGCAGTGAATTGAGGGCTTGGTAAACTTGAGTTCTCCTTTCTTTTTCTAATTTCTTGACTTTGAGAAGGTCAGGGAACACTTATTTCTTTGCTTCTGTGTCTAACAAGTCAAAGATTTCGTTAGCTGACTTAGCTTTTGTTCAATAAAATCTGTGAATAGGCAGCTCCTAAAAATACACACTCTGGAACTTGAATTTACGTTAAAGCGCTACTCACAAAGGTCAAGCGCCACGTGGTGGGGTGTAGGGTGTGAGGCTTTATTAAGGAATGGATTTTGTGACCTAACATATGTACTTGTTCAGTTTCTTAGGAAGTTTTTTATATTTTCACTTTTTTAAAGCTTTAGTAGAACTAGGAGTGCTTTCAATAGAGAGCAGTAATTTTATTTTTTCTAGAAAAGACTTATCTGTTATTAAAATTTTTTAGGATGAGCCCTGAAGATAGGAAATGGGGACATTGATCTGAGAAGATGTGTTGTTGGTACAGTTTTCTCACTTTGGTGGGCAGTTTCTGCCTTTGGTTAAAGAGGGAAGAAAAGGGATATTTTTCTGTCTCCCACCATTTTATCCATTATTCTGAATTTTCAGTAACACATGTTACTTTCCTACAAGTGTTCAGTGCTGTTACTCCTGTTGCTGTTTTAATACCAGGAATGTTGAACAGATGTGAAAGCACTATTGGGTGATTCTTCACTTGTCCCTCCCAAGAGTTTGAAACAAATTTTAGAATATGCATAATGAATGTAGAGGAATTTTTTTTACAGAATGAAATATGGCCAACTTCTGCCTAGGTGTGGATGCAGATAAATGACTCAGTTCTGTTAGAAAAGCAAATGAAATTCTTCTGTAAAACAGATGCTTAAATAATCATGTCACTGTTTTCCTAAAACCAGTTCTGTCAAAAAACCCAACACTACCAAGTCTGATAGGACTTCTCTGCCTAATAATGCATTGACTTAAGTTTTGAGATGTCCCATAGAGCATAGCATGTTTAAAAAAAATGAAATAATTAAATTTGTTTGACCTTTCCAGTTGATATACCAGATTTTCTTGGTTTAGCTTATCTTATTCCTGGGGATTGTCAACTAATGTCACAGTTGGGACTTATATATTGTGACTTTATGAATCAACACTTATTATGGCTGGCTAAGTATAAAAACCTATGAACTTTGATGGTGGTTTTTTGCTTTGTCAACTTTTCCCTTGATTTCAATAGTGGTAGGTCGAAAAGCGTCAAGTGAAGTGAGAGGAAGTGGCAGGAATGTGTTATATTTTGTCCCTTTTACATAATTAAAATGAGGTGCTTTTATTAATCATTACTGATTTTGACTTTCAACTAGTCATATTCTAAGTTTTGCGTGTTCTGTAGAAATAGAAAACTTATAGTTGGGTCTCTCGGAGCAAAAATAATTATTTCCTTTTTTAGGATGCAAATTGTGTTGTAGTCATTCCTTGATGTCATTTTAGCCAGCAATGTCTCAAACATAGAGAAGTGGAGATTTCACCTTTAACAACTGGTTTGAAGGGATGAAATGAAGGGGGGTCATGAGAGACTGTGAATCAATAACTCAAGAAGTTTCTTTAGCTGCCCTGGTACCTGCAGTGAGTACCTCTTACCTGATTTCTAGTGGGGTGACAGTTTTTCATCTCAGGAATTTTATTTACCAGTTTAATTTTCTTCCTTGTTTAGCCATTTAATAAATTTTCCTGACATAAAAATGAAGTGGCTGATGCAGTTATTCTGCCCATGTCCACCTAGACTAGAGATGATCTAGCAGGAGTGAAGCCTAGATCTCCATTGTGCAGAAAAATCATGATTCGTTGTGTTTATGACCCACATGAACAGGGCTATTTGAACTTGGGTTGTGGCATGAAAGTTTTTCCTAGGTTGGATGTGTCACCTCTGTAACAGTGGATAGTGAACTTCAGCAACTGACATGGGGTACATTCAAATCCTCTAATATATTTGCATTTCTAGTTTTCAGTGGGTACAATGTACTATTGAAATTTTTAGAGTTGTATTGTCAGTGGACCATAAATGCCCTTTTGTTTTCCAGGCCTCCCCTCTCCCTTTTTTTGGGGGGTTGATTTCTCATTACCCTGGATTTCTGTTGCATATGTTCACAACGCAGAACTGTTTTATTGCCCTCCCACTCAGTTATTGAAGATGAGAAGCCTGTCCTTTCAACATGCATGTTCTCTGAATATAAAAATTCCTTTGCCAGTTTCCCAAACTTTCTCATCGTCATTTTAAGGGATTCGATCTACTAAGGGAAGAACTGTGAAGAGATCTATTGTTAGAGTCACATGCAGTGGTGCATGCCTGTAATCCCAGGGAGTCAGAAGGCTGAGGTAGGAGGATTGAGGCCAGTCTTTACCATTTAGGAAGACCTTGTCTTAAATAAAAAACAAAGAGGGCTGGGGATATATAGCTCAGTGGTAGAGTACCCTAGGTTCACTCCCCAGTCCCCAACACCAAAAAAAAAAAAAAAAAAAGACCTATTATGTATTAAAAAACTTTGTTATTTCTAGGAACGTTCTCTACCTTTCAAAAATATGAGGCAAACAAAATTATAAGAGTCTTATAAAAATAATGGCATTCTCTTCTGATATATTTCTAATCTTACCACACTTTGATGTTTTGGACATTGATTTATATATGTGCAGTGCCCAGTAGACTCCCTAGGCCTGGCTGATGGCTTAACTTTCCCACATGTGCCTGGTTGCTTCCCAGAAATTGGAATTCTTGCTATTTATTTTGTAATTTATATGACACCGTGGTTTGATCTCCGCAGGCTTGCATGGCCTCTTCCTTTAATTGGCCAGCTGTCTTTATCTCTCACGAAAGAGGGTCTTGATTATGATGTCAGAGGCCCAGACAAATCCAGGCCATTGATTTTAGTTCCCTGGCTCAGGTTATAAGGTAGCAGAGTACAAAGAACATATTCTGTTCAAAAAACACTGCACTGATGTGCCTTTTGAGGTAGCAACACCGCCCTGAACTGCCATTTCAGGGCCCCCCACCCTCCTAGGTCAAGCAGTTAAATATGCCTAAATATTTTTTAAAGTGCATCGTTATAATTTTTCATTGTTGTGTTAAAAGGGACACAAGGAAGTGATCATTATATGTGAAGTTACCTCGTTTGGAATAACTTAGAATGTTTGGAACCAATTCAGAACAAAGTTTTATGAAACTCTGAAGTGTCTGCTTATTCTTTTGTCTGTGTAGAGGGTCTTTCTACTGAAGAAATAAAAAATGTTCTGGAGAAGGTTTTATCAGAGTGGAAGAATGTATCTCAGCATCTGGAGGATCTGGCCGGAAAGCTTCAGCTTCAGGAGGATATCAATGCTTATTGTAAGCAGATTGATGAGCTTGAAAAGATCGTAAAGAAGAAGGAGGAGTGGGTACAACACACGCCCTTTTCTAAATCTCCCCAGCAGTCCTTGGCAAGTTTGAAGGATTCCTGTCAGGTAAGGAGCCAGCCGTCTGGAGTATGCCAGAGTTCTTTGTACCATTTCCTACTTGAGGCAGGTGTTTTTTGTGTCATGAAATTTTAGTTAATTCTGCTCTGATGGACTTTCTGGGGAGATTCCTTCATTGAGTTATGCGACCGTATTTTCTCTTCCACAGAGGGAACTCAACAGTCTCCTTGGCCTCCAACCCAAAATTGAAATGGTGCGTGCAAGCTGCTTGGCCTTGAGGTCTCGGCCTTCGGTCCCAGGTTTTGTCCAGCAGAGCTTGGATGGCTTTCTGGGCCACTACCAGGCTGTGCAGAAGGATTTAGAGCATCTTCAACAACAGCTAGAGAATGGTAAGCCCATTCCCTTGGTTTTCTTACTCGATGATATTAATATCTCCTCTCTGTTTGCCTGAATCTAAAAATTATTCCCAAAACTTAGATTGTCAGCGTGTTTATGCATTACACCAGTTTTACGTTTTCTTTGGCACCATGTGTGGTTCAAGGTCTTAAAGTATAATCAGACTATTTTCTGGGCTCACATTTGATTAGAAAAATACATACACTTTTCACATACTCTAAAAATGTGTTAATAGGATCTAATACTTTTCTTAAATAAGGTGTTTTTTTTTGTGTGTGTGTGTGTGTGTGTGTGTTTGTATGTGTGTTACTGGGATCGGAACCCAGGTGAGCTCTCTTCCGCTTAGCTTCATCCCCAACCCTTTTTATTTTGAGATAGGCTCTTGCTAAGTTGCTCAGGCTGGACTCAACCTTGTAATCCCCTGCTTCAGACTCCCTGAGTACCTGGGATTACAGGTATGCACCACCATGCCTGGCTTTAATATTTTAAAAGGAGAAATAGGTGTTGTTTCTTCCTTTGGATCTCCTCAGTAAGATTAGAAAGAATGATCACTTTTTTCTTATCATTCATAATGATTATGGTTTTAGCAATACCATCCCGTTTTTGAAAAAGAAATCATATTCTTCTTCTAAAAGATGAAAAATTTTAATGAGATTTTACTTTTGCAGTAAACCTGGTTTTAGGAAGTTAGCTGCTAAAGGCTGTGAGAGCTCATCCCTTATATTTTACTTATGTGTTTTCCTGGGCTGCTGTTTAAGTTTGGACTGGGTAGTACAGACTCAGTGCCCATAACCACTGCCTTCTTCATACCGCAGATTGTGTAAGGACGTTAGGAATCAGTACATGTGTATATTAGACAATGTGTCTTATTGTCTTCCAGAAGGCATTTGGACACCGTGCCTTTGCTCATTGATATTAGTTAACCTAGAGTGCAAAGTAAATATGGAGAGGACCTCATTCTCACTTTACTGGCACAAACTATGTTTTCATTTTGACAAGGACCATAGGCATTTTAACCTTGGCTGCTGGCTGGTTTTGTCTCTTTGTCCTTCAGATGAACTCACTTCTCTTCCACACAAGTGCTACTGTATGTGATTCTTATATTAGACGTACAAGTAGACTTCACCAGTGGGCTGTGGCTGGCCCTGTTTCTCAGGGTACCTGTGGCAGCCTGGTGCTGTGTCCCTGTACATGCCTGCCACTGTGAGATGGGTTTTTCCTGGGGCCTTGTACTTACAGGAAGACTGGTGGATCTTTGTTTTCTTTCTTTATTCTTTGTGTGGCAATTGGGGAAGAGGAGATTATGTGAGACAAAAGGAACATTGTTGTTCCAGCTTTGGAGAGACATTTCATCATGATGAAATGAAGAAAAATGATAGTGAGTTAGTTAATATTTCAAACATCAACATCCGCAGGAATGAAGTCACTGTCTGAGTCCTAGAAATGCCAGTAGAATGACCTATTTTATTAACCAACAGAGACCCTTTTAAATTTTAATTAGGGGTCTAAATTATTATGCATTTGAATTCACTTATTATATATGGAAGATTAATGGTATATATAATAACAATCAGATTCCTAATATAATTTTCTCAAAGTAAGTATTTTTAAATAAACAGAATTGAAGAGCCAGCCGGGACAAGCATATTTGGAGACACTAAAAACACTAAAAGATACACTAAGTGACTCAGAAAATAAGGCCCAGATGTCTCTCAATGCTCTGAATGATCTTGCCAAGATGGAGAAGGCCCTGCAAGAAAAAAAGGTAATTTATGGTTCTGAAGTCTAGAAATTTTACGTTCTATATTTTAAGATTTTAAAAGGAGAAATAGGTGTTGTTTCTTCCTTTGGGCCTTCTCAGTAAGATTAAAAAGAATGATTTTGTCATTTTTTTTTAAAAACATTGGTCATTTGTATTCAAAATTGGTCTCAAAATTTCTTATAATTTGACGATTAGCTATTATAACATAGGACCTCAGATAAAAAGAAATTTATTTAGTATTAGTAGAAGAAAAGCATATTTTCTCCTTCTATTATAACTTGCCTAAAACTTTCAACCTGTTCATAATGTGCTAAGATGTCTTTTGTAAAATGAGGAATATTAGTTGAATTCATGCTTTTTAAAAATTTGGTGTTGAGTACAAATGCTTCCCTGGTAGTAAGTTAAGTAACCTCAAGGTTCTGAAGTACTTCATCACAGAAAAAGACCAACCCTTAACACTGCACACTGGACCCTCATGGGTGTGGTGCTCCTGCGACTCTCAGCATACAGAACATCTTATGTTGCCTACGCATAACTCATGAAGGGAAAGCTGGAGCTTTTTTGATTATGACTATTCTTTTTACAATTTTTTTTGATAAAATGTCTTTTTTTTCTGTATGTGATTCCATCTGCACAGACACATTGCTGTATATGATTTTTACCTTTTCAATTTTTTTCCTAGGCCCTTGATGAAATCCTTGAGAATCAAAAACCCACGATATGTAAACTTGCAGAAGAAACAAAGGCTTTGGAGAAGAATGTGCTTCCTGATGTAGAAAAAATGTATAAGCAAGAATTTGATGATGCCCAAGGAAAGTGGAATAAATTAAAGGCCAAAGTTTCCAAAGATCTACATTTGCTTGAAGAAATTACCTCCAAACTCAGAACTTTTGAGGTAAATCAGGAGGCCATCAGGAGCTTAAGTTTATTGTAGGGTAAATGGTGATTATCACAATAAGACTCAAATATCTATTTATATTGTGTGGTTTCTAGGCCCTCACTTTTTATGCGCTGAAGCTGAGATTTACTGTTAATGTGCTTGTGAGCACATGTCTTTCTTTCTGCCTTGCAGAAAAGGCTTCTTGGTAGAGATGAACTTGACTTTGAAGATAAGAGAACATTGCTTAAAAATGGTCAAAATGGGGACCTATGTGAAATATTGGCTGGTCATTAAATTACTCAGTTGGGTAGAAGGAGCCTTGAACCTGCTTCTTTTATATAACTTTATTTTATTTATTTATATGTGGTGCTGAGAATCGAACCCAGGGCCCTGCATGTACGAAGGCAAGTGCTGTACCACTGAGCCATAACCCCAGCCCCTGAACCTTTCTTTAAAGGTCTTTGACAGTTGGGTTGAAAATCTAAACTAGTGCATCTGTATCAGACTGGGGAAGCAAGTAATTCAGGGCACACAAATTCTGAAGTGGGTTGCTTTGCTACATCTGAAAATGTGCAGCACAGACGAAGCCTTAGTAAAGTTTGAGAAGACAGGATCAATGAGAGGCTATATAAGGAGGAAGTGGTAAAAGCCAGTGTCAGGAAAGGTCAGATTTTAATTCTGCCCGTGAGACCTATGGAGAAGCAGAGCTGCCACGTCACCTGGTTTTCTCACCAGAAAGGACTGGGTAGAGAATGAGCCACTCACACTCTGTCCTCCTGGGGACCTGTTCCTTGGCCCTTCTCATTTCCCTTTAGTCAGGGCTCCCCCTATTCCCCCACTCTCCCACCTATGTGTTCTAAGATATACTTCTGCAACAGTGTCTGACCCAGAGAAGGCACTCAATGACCAGTAATAAGAACTTTAGATTTAGGTAGATGATAGATTTAGATCCGTAGAAAATTTGTGTGAAGGATATTGCTCAAAAAGGTGAAAAGATTGAAAGTAAAGATAAGATATATGAAAGCAGTGTTTTAAAAATCAAAGTCAGAGAACTTGTGGTAGTAGAAGAGGTCTGATGGTCCTGTACGGGTCAGCGTGGAAGGCCTCCAGTGAGATTTGTTGAGCATTGACCACAGAACTTGGAGGGAAGCTCTTGACCCAGCAAGTGATAGGCAGTTCCAGTGAACGACAGCAGAAGATTGTGGATGGACAGGTTGTGTGGGTGTGTGTGGTGGCAGCAGTAGTTTTTAGATCTCACTCGAATAAACCATTAGTTATGAAGAGGAATGTGTTATTGGGTAGCTTTCACTTCATGAGTGAATCCACTTCTACTTACGTGTCATCAGTTGTAACTGTTTCAACTTTCAAAATGAGGATTACCCTCATCTACAATTCTAGAATTTTCAGTCATGGTCCAGGAGTGGATTGATTATCAGGAATTCTCAGCTGTGGGGGAAAGCACCCAGTGGGTAGGGCCAGGGACCCAGGTAATTTTGTTAGTGCACCCAACAGGCCCACCAAACAGTCTTCCCACCCCACATGCGAATGGTGCCAAGAGTCAGCCATGCTGGGTTAAATAATTCCCATTCTTTTCAAAGATTATTCCTTTATTTTCAAATTTAAATCTGAGAGGATTTGCAAAAGTTACAAATTACTCTTGGGTGAGCTAAATATTAGCCAATATTTTAATTGAATTTCAAGAGAATCAATATTCTTCCAAAACACGAGAGAAAGTCCTGGGGTTATAGTAATCTGGCTTTAGGCTTTAGTGGTTTGTTGTTACTAATACAGAAAATCCAGGCCCTTAGTGGTAAATTGGAGTGCTGCTAAAAATGTATTTCCAAGCCTCAGCAGTGGTGAGGTGCTCAGCAGCTCCGTGAGACCCTCTCTCTAAATAAGATACAAAATAGGGCTGGAGATGTGGCTCAGTGGTCCAGCGCCCCTAAGTTCAATCCCTGGTACCCATCCTCCCCACAAAAAAATGTACTTCCGTAAAAAATATATTCCCCATTAAACACATTTCTGAGTAGTTTGGTGAGGTTTGTTGTTGTTTTTATAGTAGTAGGTTTCTAACATCCTGTTATTTTTATTTGCCCTTTTTGTGTGCTAAGTACAAGATTGTTGTCAATGTCTGTATTCCTTAATTGTTTAACTTCTTCTCTGAAATATATGTGCATATGTATGTGTATTTTTTTTTTTTTAATTTTTAAGAACACTCCTGCTCCCTTATGTGCTTTAAAGGAATTTCCTGTTACTTGTTTGCTCACCATTTACTTGAGGAAACTTAAAAATCCCATCCATCTCATAGTCTTTAGATGATTACATGAAATATTCTTATACTCGTTATCATTGTTTTCTCTTTTTCACGGTGCTGATGTATAATTTCTTAGTAATTTAATTTCTGTTGTCTTTAAGACAGGAGGTCCAGTAGGTAATGTGCCAATCTGTGTGATTTTTCTTAGGGACAAAACAGTGGAATTGTTTGTTTATTTTATTTGTTTGTTTGTGTACATATATTTATTCTAATTATTATATGTTACTTATACATGACAGTAGAATGCATTTTGACACATCATACATAAATGCAGTATAACTTCTCATTCATCTGGTTGTACATGATGTAGATGTTTCCAGGTCATGTAATCATATATACACATAGGGCAATAATGTCCAATTCACTCTACTATCATCCCTACACCCATGCCTTCTCGCCTCCCTTCACTCCCCTCTGTTTAGTCCAAATACTTTTATTCTCTGTCCCCGCCCCGCCCCCCACATTATGAATCAGAGAAAACATTCAGCCTTTGGTTCTTTGTGATTGGCTTATTTTGCTTAGCATAATATTCTTCAGTTCCATCCACTTACCAGCAAATGCTATGATCTCATTCTTATTTATGGCTGAGTAATATCCTGTTGTGTATATATACTGCAGTTTCTTTATCCATTCATCTGTTGAAGGCACCTAGGTTGGTTCCGTAGTTTAGCTATTGGGAATTGAGCTGCTACAAACATTGATGGGACTGCATCACTGTAGTATGTTATTTATTTATTTTTTTTT